CGCTCTTCCCACAGCTCGTCCGTCGCGCAAAATTCCCGTCAACCTCAAGAAACCACCCCCAAAGCAAAGGGGAAGAATTCCTCGCATTCTCCCAGCGAATAACTAAAACCCTAATCTCCCACATCGTCTTTGTTTTCTATTCAGATTAGGGTTTCTCAGGCTTCTTTTTTTTTGTATCAAAGTTTATAAACTGTGCTTATATTCCGGCACCGTGCGGATTCGGGCTCGAGATAAATTTCACACATTTTCTTCCAAATTACATTCCGGCACCGTGCGGAGCTCGGTGTGGGTGGTGGAGGACTTTATTGATCGGAATGGATGCTGCCGGCAGCCAGGGCGGGTCCATTCCCGGTCCTTCCTCGCAGCATCCGCAGAGGATGGAATGGCATGCCGTGTCTGAGAACTCTTTCCATAACAATGGAGGCGAAGTAAGGAGGGTGTAGCGCTTTATTCTAAGCTGTCATGCATAAATTTCTTTGTTGATGTCTTGTTTTATTGCAGGAGCTGGAACACACTAACTTTGGGCAGTCCGACGAGAGAACGATATATGAGGTATGCTACCCGGTTGAAAACATGTTTTATGTTTGTGCGTGCATCATGCTGAGTCCGAATGATGGCTTTTCGGGTAAACCGTTGATTGTGGGAAGGTACAGGAAGTAACCGGACAACTTGACGTGGATGTCCGTTCGATTACTATCGATGGTGGGGGGATGACTGACGAGACATTGCAGTGTCGGCTTCAGGAGGTTTCTAGGCAGAGGGGGAAGCTGGAACATTTAGAAATGGAGCTAAGGGCTCGGGCAATTGCCAGGACTAAGATTATGGAAATGCAGAGAAGGTATCAGTCACAGATCAGGGAGCATGCTGATGCAACTACACAGCTAAAGGTGCCGAATAATTTCTAATTTTGGCTTGCAGTAGATATTTCTTTGTAACTGATTTCTTCATGTAGTTTTTATTAGACATTTGCTGTTGTGATCTCTACTTCATTTTTATTGCCTTTATTTCTTCTCTATTTATGGTATTGCACTGTTTTCTAAACTTTAAAGCGGAAGCTCGTTAACAACATATGCTGGCTGCCAGTCATTTTACTTGACTGTCGTACAAATGGTTCTTAGTGGTTTGGATTCTATATCTGGATGATATATTGTTAGTTTGCTTATTTACACTAATTTTTGAGGCAGTGTTGATGGTTTGCATTCCGATGAGCTAACATTAATTTATTTCAGGCAATTTGGCTGTTGAGGAGATTCTGAACACCAGAAATTACATCCATTGAGCTCTTTGCTTTGCTCATGGATTTGAATTATTGTTAATCTACAGAAATATTTTCAGATGCTTCTTTTAATTTTCTTAAAAAACATAATCCTCTCTTTTCTTGATCATATTTTTGCAACTAACACCCCTTTTTATGCAGTTGTTTTCTTTTAACTTGCTTAGTGAATGACATATTAACTTGGAAAAATGGGTGCAATACATGGACGAGCATATGATTTCATAAGATGATACCGTCTTTTTTTCTTGAATGGGATGCAATATATCTAAGATACACTATTTGACTGTGCTGATATATAAATGCACGTGCGCACGCGCACACAAACACATACACACACACACATATTTACATATATGTATGTATGTATCTATCTATCTATATGCATGTATGTATCTATCTATATGTACGTATGCATGCATGTATGTTTGTATCTATATATGTACACATGTATCTAGATGTATATGTATTTATGTGTGTATTTTTGTATATATGATATAGTCGCATGTATGAGTGGTTAACTGTACCAAGGAGGATAATCAGGGGGCCTTTTGTAGTTACCATGACTTTCGGTTAAAAGAATCACATGCAAATTATGTACGCATTGCATTGTTTGATAAATGCCAACAATATTTCCCCGGTTAAAAGAATCACATGCAAATTATGTATGCATTGCATTGTTTGATAAATGCCAACAATATTTCCCATCCGTTTGGAAAGTCTGAAAAAGAAATGAGGTTCTGTTTTTTTTTTGTCATGTACTATTTTAAGATATACCCTCCAATTGACTGAGTTATATTTGTCTAAAAAACTTTCACAAGACAAGTTCTTTAAGAATGCAAATTAGCCTAAAGATAAAAGAAAAGGGCCACCGATGGATGCAGTAAGCTGATTTGGTTGATTGTTCCTTGATTGGATAGGAAGTTGGGCTACCAAAGTGATAGTAGCTTGTAAATCGTTGTTCAAACTTGAGTGATAGAGGAGAGTGATTAGTAACCCTTTAAGGGAAATAAAAGAAGAATGACTTTATTTATAGGTAAGTTTGAAATATGCAGCACCAGTGAATTAGTGTAAAGTAGTTTTGGGATTTTTTGTGCTTATTTAGTACCAGTGAATTAGTAGTGTAAAGTAGTTTTGGGATTTTTTGTGCTTATTCAAATCAGAACTATGTGGCTTGACGGAATTTGAAACAAAGCTATCATCATAAGCATAATCTTAGCGTGATATGCTATACTAAACAGTTGTGAGAAATTGGGGAAATGTTATTAGCTTCATCAGCCCTTCTTATATCTTCAAAGAAAGAAGAATGACTCTCTTTATAGGTAACTTTGAAATATGTAGCACTAGGGAATTAGTGTAAAGTAGTTTTGGGATATTTTTATGTTTCTTCAAATGAGAACTATGTGGCTTGATTGAATTTGGATATCATCAGCAATATCTTAGCGTGATATGCCATACCAAACAGTTGTGAGAAATTGGGGAAATGTTATTTTAGCTTCATCATCTTTTCTAGCATCTTCAAAAGAAAGAATTGGTGCCATCTCAAAATTTTTTTTGGATGTGGATACTCATTTGCTTTTGTTTGATCAAAAGAGTTGCTGCGTTTTTCATATATATATATATATATCTTGTTGTATATAGTGCATCACATGATTTTCTTTCACTATAAATGGTATCCTTACTGTATTTTAAAATTTTAAAATTTGTCTGTTGATTACATATTGAATAAATGTTGTGGGAAATTCCCATACTTAGATGGTTTCTGGTATTCTATTGATAGGATAAGTTTTGTTAAAACATTTCATTGCTTACAGACAACACATCCATACAAATTAATTTCTATATAATATTGTGCGAATGCACTATATTCTTGCTAGGCATCCCTTTTGATAGGGCGAGCTTAAGTAAAACTTTGACTGCTTGAGCACAACGCCCAGCGCAGCATAGTTTCCATGCACTAGCCTGTGAAGGTTCAATAGTTTTGTAATAATTTAGGGATAATTATTTACTCTATTATATCTTTTCATTTTGCTTTTATATTCTTTTCAGGATGAAGCAATTATTTTCTGCATTATTATATGGCTTACTATGACTTTCTTCCTAGTGAAAAGTCCCTTCCCCTGAATTTTTTTCCTTCCATGAAAAGTTGCCTCTCACCTGCAAAAAGCAGCTCTTTTGGTTTCTGCAAAGCTCGCTTTACAGAATAGTGAGCTAGGAAATATGGTGTCAGTTGCAGGTTAAAGCTGTAAATTTTTTGAGGGATGCCTTACTTTGTCTGCTCTGTTTCGATAAATGAATATTGCTGTTGCCTAAACCTTTTTATTGGCGTAGTTTATCCAGATTCTCTCTCTAAGGTATTGAAAATGTGTTAAGAATAGTGATATCGCATCTGACAATTGTTCTTTGTGTCTCTTTCCAAAGAAATCTTTATTGAATTGTCTAGGCTGTTGACAAAGAATATTATTTTTATTGGATCAAGCTATTGAATGAGGATTTTTAAAGCTAGCCACGCATAGTTTGGATAAGGCTTATGATAATGATGATTAAAGTCATCTTCGAATAGATTTTTATAATTTTTGCATACATTGTGCTTATTCTATTAATTTTGTCAAAGCAACATTGCAATCTTTGTTCTTATGTTTCCAGCGGCAGCAGTTCGTCCTTATCAATTGATAAGAATTGATTTCTATAAAACTTATGTTTTAATATGATTTATAATATCCACAACCATTTTGCAGGACCGACTAAAACAAAGAGAGGAACAAATATCTGAATTAAAGGTGACATTGGAAGAGAAAGACAGGGAATTACGTTCAGTAAAGTTAGATAATGATGCGGTTTGTTTGGCCCTCTTTTTGCACTTCATCTTTGCGTCTTTGTTTATCAGTGTCAGGTCTTGCTTTGAGAAAAACAAGTAGTGCTTCTTTTTGCTGTATAGGTTTGGGCTAAAGCGGACCTCCTTAGGGAACAAAATAAAGAGCTAGCCACCTTTAGGTATGTTTTATATGAACTTTTTCTTTTGGTTTATTGAACCCAATGATTAATGGTTAGAATTTCGTATTTTTTAATTTTGGCCATTTCTAGCTTCTGAACCTACAATCCAGACTATAAAATGGAAACACTTTGGAATTGTTCTTATTATTTTCTGGTCCTTTTTTGTTTTTATATTTTCTATATTCAAGCAGTTTTCATGGTTATGTCGATTTCTGATAATCTCTTTTTTATGACTTGCCATCAGTTTTTCACTATAACGGTGTCACCAAGTCCTTTATAGCTTTATTTAGGAAGGTCTATCCTTAACTAATTTTATTATTGATATCACAAGTACTGTTACCTAGTATTTTTGTTTTTTTGTCTCCTTCGATGCGCATGGTCATCATTCCCATCTTTTTTTAGTTTTCTACATCCTTTCTTAAAAAATGTCATCTTTTCTTCAATATGAGAGTAGTGTCATCATTGATGTGATATTGATTTTAATTTTGATACGGATTTTACAATTAGGGTATGTAAATTACCTATGGGCAAGGAGCTGCTTATTTGTTTTTTCATATTTCATCTTCATCTTCTTTAACATTAGTTGCCACTTTATTCTCCATCATTTCCTAGTGTTGCATCAAATGCTAATTAAAATTTGGACTTTTTTTGTCATATTCTCAGTTGTGTTGTCTTTGGTCTATTTTTTCCATTATTATCCTTTTAGATTAGTTCTATCTACTTAACTCGTTGGTGGATATCATTACGATTCCATTTTGATGCCCTAACATTCTGAATATATTTTCCATTCCCTAATATTCAGCAGGATTTTATCACCATTTAAAATAATCATTCTTAATCTT